CACACATGCCCTGTGTGAGTTTAAGCCACCAGGTCTGGGACTCGAACCATGGTCGACTACATGGGAGTCTAACGACACAGCCATTATGTCAACTGCTGGTCCCCAGTTTTTGGACTCTTAAGTAGAGTTTATTGTCTGTTTTCTATTTAAGACCAGAGAGGGATCTGATTACTATTGGTTCAACTCTTTATCTTTTTTCGTTTGTTTCAGAGAGATTTTTGCTATAGGGTGCATATGCTTGCTGAAGAGACACAGAGACAGAAAGCGAGAAATCATTCCCCAGGGGAGACGGCCATGGTGCAATCCTTTCTCCTCCTTTCTTCTCTCAGGATTTTGGGCATGCACGTGCCTGGTGTGAGTTTTATTTATTAAATTTTTAAAGATTAATTTAATTTGTTATGATTATTTTTTAATTTGACCAGAGAGAGACAGAGAGAGAAAGAAGGGTGGGGGACCAGCAGGTGGCATGGTGGTTAAAGCGCTAGACACTCCCACATGACCGACCATGGTTCAAGTCCTGGACCTGGTGGCTTAATAGCTCACTTTCTCTCTCTCTCTGGTCAAATGAAAATAAATGAATGAATAAATAAAATTAAAATAAAATAATTATTTTATTATTTTATTTTTTGGAGAGGTTTTTGCTATAGAGTGTGTGCGCTCGCCAGAGAGACAGAGACAGAAAGCAAGAAATCACCCCCTCGGGGGATGGCCACGCCACAATCCCTTCTCCTCCATTCTCCTCTCGGGATCTTGGGCACGCATGCGCACGCACACAAGCCCACCGTGAGTTTAAGCCACTGGGTCTGGGACTTGAACTGTGATCAACTATGTGGGAGTCCAGTGACATAGCCATTATGCTAACTACTGGTCCCAAAGTAATTATTATTATTTTTTTTTTTAAAGAAGGAGAAAGTGAGAAAGCAAACTGCCAGGTCCAGGACTCAAACTGCAGCCAGCCATGTGGGAACCCAGCACCTTAACCACCCACACCACCTGCTGACTTCCCTGGCATGAGTTTTAAGTCACCAGGTCCAGGACTCCAACTGCAAGCAACTACGTGGGAACCCAGTGACCATTATACCATCTACTGGCCCCTCAACTATCTTACTTTATTAAACTTGTTTCTGATTTAAGACATCAGAGCATTCTTCAGTTTGATGGCAGCGCTGCCAACCAGTACAGGCTTATTCTACACTTAAATTTAAAGGCAAAACACACTCATTAAGCTCAGTCTGACCTTAGCGTCCATATTCCAAGGGGGGACAATAAACATTATGAACTACAGGAAAATTCCCAAAGAAGGTCCATAGTCTGACCCTTGCTTTACATTTTTACTCCTCGCCTCTAAGGTTAGACAATCACAGCAAACAGAGCATTCGGAAAATTCCATCCAGAGATGCCCATCCTTCGTCCTTCTTCCCCGCCTCTCTGTTCTGTGGCCTCTCTCTCCAGTCAGCCTGACTCCTAACCTGGAAGTCCTCTTTGGCTCATGTTCCCCTCTCTGTTTTCCTAAATCCACTTGGGTGGCTAATCTTTACTGTGCCCATTATTCCCCATTGTCACCACCCTAGTCCCCTTCCTCTTCCCCCCGGGTTTCCCTGCCACAGTGTGGCAGCTGCTTCTCAGCCAGCTCCACCCCTCCCAGCCCTGCTTGCTCACCCAGCCTGCTGGGCTGCCGCCCCACTAATCCTCCGAAGTATTCTTCAGAAACCACATCGCCCAGCGATGCTGCAGCCTTAATTAGGTTCCCTCCCTGTCCCCTTACCTCTGGCCCGTGCCTTCCTACTTTAGCGTCTTGTGCGTTCATTTCATTCACCCAGTAGTTACTGGACCCTTAATGTTTATTAAGTATTATTCTAGATGCTAGGGTTTAGCATCGAAGAAGACAGATACAAATCTTGGCCTTAAGAGAGTTTGGCATTGGGGAAACCAGCAGTTAGCTGGTTTGTAATGGCTATGTCGCTGGACTCCCATGTAGTCGACCGCAGTTCGTGTCCCGCATTCTTTCGGGGAGATAAAATCAACAAATGAACAAAGATGGCCAGTGGTTATGAAGCTAAGAAGAAAAATAAAACAGTATCTGGGGACATAGCATGTCAAGGTAGGGGAAATATTTCAGATTGGGGGTCAGGGAAGTCCTCTTTGAGGAGCTGATGCTAGAGCAAAGACCTGAAGGATGGGTGGGAGCTTGCTCTGTGGATAACAGCGATAAGATTACGCAGTCAGAGGTATAGTGAGTGCAAAGGCCCCAAGGTCTGAGCAGGCTGGTGTTTGGGAGGAATATTAGGAAGGCCTGTGCAGGTGGAGTGGAGGAAGAGGGAGAGAAAAGTCAGGAAGGAAATGAGGTCAGAGGAGCTGGAGACAGATTAAGAAGGGCCACAGCAAGGCAAGTGAAATGGAAGCCTTTAGGGGCTAGCAGGTGGCATGGTGGTTAAGGGCGCTGGACTCCTACATAGCTGACCATGGTTTGAGTCCTAGACCTAGCAGCTTGCTTTCTCTTTCTCTTGCTGTCTCTCTCGTTCTGTCCCTCTCTGGTCAAATTAAAAATAAATAAATAAAGTTAAATAAAATAATTCTTAAAAAAAAAAAAAAAGAGAGAAGGCCTTTAGAGAGTTTTAGTGAAAGATGACATAATCTGATTTTTGATCTTTTAAAAATACTTACTTCAGGGCCAGCAGGTGTCATGATGGTTAAGGTGCTGGACTCCCACATGGTCTACTGCGGTTCAAGTCCGAGACCCAGTGACTTGAAAATTAAGCTGGGCGTGTGTGTGTGTGTGTGTGTGTGTGTGTGTGTGCCCAGAATACTAGAAGAAAACCGGAGGATAAGGGATTGTGGCGTGGCCATCCCTCTGGAGGGTGATTTTTCACTTTTCCTCTCTCTGTCACTTTACTGTGATCTCACACACCCTATGACAAAAACCTAAAAAAAAAAAGGTTTATTTCTTTCTTTTAAGAATGAGAGAGACAGACACCTCTGACAGGTTCTTGATGCTGCAATTCACCTCCAGCTTCAGTCAGTCCCAGATTGCAGTGGCCGATATATTCCAGGAGGTTTCTGGACATGAAGCTGGAACCCTTCTATGTGGGTCACTCTCTCAGAGCTTAACTTTTGCCACTGTGCCACCATATGCTCTGATTTAGTATTATTATTTTTAAAACTTTTCTTGCTATAGGGTGCATGTGCTCACCAGAGACAGAGAGAGAGAGAGAGAGAATGAGAAAGCATCCTCTCAGAAGTGTGTGCGTGGGGGGTTGGTAGCCACACTACAATCCCTTCTCCTCCATTCTCCTCTTGAGATTTTGGGCATGCACACACATGTTCCTGGTGTGATTTTCAAGCCACTGGGTCCAGGAATTGAACCACATGGTCAACCAGGGATCCAGTTACCTTAACCACTGCACCACCAACTGGCCCTGATTAATGATTTTTGAAGGGTTACTTTGGCTATCATGTGAAGAAGAAGCCAAAAGGGACAAGGGTGGAAGCAGCAAGATTTGCCCAGGAGAGAGATGATGGAGCCTTGGTAGTGGTGGAGATCGGGGCGGTGAGGAGACTGACTTCTGGAAGTCTTTCCTAACATGCACAGTGCAAAATAAAACATGGAGTGAGGGGCCAACCTGTGTGTGGCTGAGGTGGCTGGATCCCACATGGCTGATTGTGTGACTAGAATTCTGGACCCCAAATCTTGAAAGGAGGAAGAAATGGAGGAGAAGGGATTGAGAATGGCATGACCATTCCCCAGGGGGGTGCTTCCTCTCGCGCTCTCTTTACACGTGTCCTCTGGAAAATTAAAAAAAAAGAAAAGAAAAGAAAAGAGGCGGAGTGAACACACACATTCTGCCTGAGCAGCGGAATAAAGAGTACTGATGTGGAATCACTGTGCAAGGGACAGGTGTGGGGAGCTATTGAGGCAGAAAGTCAAGCATTTGAAAGCTTCTGGTTTTCCCTTTTTTTAATTTTAAAATTGTTATTTTAAAATTTGTTATAGGGCACATATGTTTACCAGAGAGAAAGAGAGAGAGAGAGATGCAGGGGGGTAAAGGGAGGAGAGCAAGCCACTAGGTCTGGGACTTGAACCATGGTCAGCCATGTGGGAGTCCAATACCTTAACTACCATGCCACCTGCTGACCCAAGCATTTGGCTTCGCAGATGTTACATTTGAGACGCCATGTAGAGGCTTAGGTAGAGATGTCAGGGACGCAGTTGCAGATTCCTGAGCCAGGCATGGCTGGAGATGTGAACTTGGGATTTATTGGTGAGTAGGAGGTGGTTAAAGCACAGACTTGGGTGAGACCAGTGAGCTACAGAGAGAAGAGGACTGAGGGCTGGGACTGGCAGCTCATCTCCCTTCTGCTCTGAAAATGTTTTTCTCTGCTACCATTATTTTTTTTTTTTTCCATTTAAAGATCACCCATTCTTCAACTTGGGAAAGCCCTCTCTTATCCTCAGGAAGGTCTCCCCTACACGCTTAAGCCCCAGCGCCTGTTTCCGCACTGCCTGCCCTTTGCTCTAAGAGCCAAGCTCTGACCTTGGCTGCTTCTTTCTGCCTCCATCAGGGAGCTGTGGGGTAACTCACTCTGTGGGCACCTGTCTCTCACTAAGCCCAGCAAAGGATGTTCCACCACTGGGTGCTTGGACAAAGCATGGCGACTTGGCTAGAATTAAATCATGAAGTGCTAATGTGGGCTGCAGATGTAGGTGCCTTGGAGGTTGGCGGAGTAGCTTGGCACTGGTTCTGTCATGGGGCTGCTGTCCAGGCGTTTTTGGTTCCATCCCAGCACCCAGCTCCTATTCTGACCCCCGTTCGAGACCACAAACCTTGGCGATGACCTTCCCTAACTTCAGCCCAACGCTAATCTTAGTTTAAAGATACTTGTGGCCAAATATTCAGTTCATACTTCCTCACCTTCCCCCTGTGGTGAGCCCCAGTCCTGAGCTTCCCCTAGGAATCCAGCACCTTCCATCTACAACCACCTCTGTGCTTCCCCACACCCAGGCTTCCCAAGCCAGCTGTGTACTCCGGGAGAGCTGGTGAAGTTCCTCACTGCAATCATCTTCAATTGCTCCGCCCAGCACGCTGCTGTCAACAGTGGGCAGGTGAGGCTGCAGCGGGCAGGCCTGGGGCAGCAGGCCACCGAGGTTAGGCACAGCAATAGATTTGGAACCGCTTTCAGGTTGACAACATGGGTGGGTCAGAGTTGGAGTGGGTTTATGACGAGGGGTAGGGTTGGAATGGTGAATAGGTGGAGCTGGGCCCAAGCTTGTAATGGCGACTCATTTGGTGTTGTGTGGGGAGAACTGATGGGTTTCTGTCACGGTTAGAACCTGGCCGGGTGGAGGACCAGGTTACTCTATGTGGTATGCCAGCCCCAAGGTCTTTCTAGGATGACCTTCTCTCTGGGTTCTCCTCCTTCCCTGGTGACTCACTCCACCTAGTCCTGGAACACTGGGTGGGGAGTGACAAGGAGTGAGCTGGATTCATGCTCCACTTCTGGGACTTTCCACCCTCTATCCCTTCTCTTTCCTTTTCACAGTCCCCTCATTTCCCAATGGCAAGACCTGGGATGGTTGAGGGGGGTCAGGGGTAATGAAGAAGGAGCTGGTCCTTTCCTTCTGGCTAGCTGATCCAACTGGCTTGGGCATCTCCACAGCATGACTTTGGGTCCTGGATGCCCAATGCCCCGTCATCCATGAGGCAGCCCCCACCCCAGACTAAGGGGACCACCACCCTGAAGAGTTACCTAGACACCCTCCCGGAAGTGAACGTCACCTGTAACAACCTTCTCCTCTTCTGGTTGGTCAGCCAAGAGCCCAAAGACCAGGTGTGTGTGTGGTGTGGGGGAGGGAGTGTTGGGAAGGTATGGTTTTGTGGGGCTAGGGCATTGGAGATGGTGGTGGCTGTCACAGGGGACTGGGTCTGACTGTGGTGATTTATGTCTGTTGTTGAGCTGCCTTAGGCTCTTCAGTTCCTTGAGGAAATGATAGTTGATATGAAAAGATAAGCTTTGAAGCCAATACCAGTTTAGTGATTGGGTCACAACTTCCAACAAGTTCACAAATTTACCAACTCATCCATCCACTTATCCACTCCTCTGACCACTCATTTGTTCATCATTAATTATTCATCCAATAATCACTCATGCATTCATCCAGATGTTCAGCAAACATTTGCTGGGTACCTCCCAAGTGTCAGTATTGCACTAGGCACCAGACATAAGGTTGAGCAAGCCCCTCCTGCCTTCAAGAAGCCTATAGTCTAGTTGAAGAGACATATAGGTAAATGAAAAATGGCACCTGGTATTGTTGGAATTTCTTGTGTATTCGTTCCTCCATTCAACATGTGCCTCCTGAGGACCTGTAATGTGCCAGACACTGGGGTCAGCTATGAACCTTGTCCTCATGAGCTTGCAGTCTAGTGACAGAGGCAATGGTAATGGAACCCAGGAAGGCTTCTTGGAAGTAGTGACATCTCAGCTAAAACCTGCAGGATAGGTGAGAATTTGGTAGACAAAGGTGGGTCAGGACTAGTTTCTAGACAGAACGAAGGACATGACCAAGGAGTGAAGGCAACAATCCACTGGTGTGTCTGTAGGATCCTAGATGGGTTGGTAAAATAGCAGGTGGAGAGGAAGGTAGGGCTTTGGCTGCACAGTAGGTGTTCAGGGGACAATGGGGAACCACTTGAGTTTTAAGCCCGAGGTACATGGTGACATTATTATTATGTTTTTGTTTTGGAGAGGGTTTCTGCTATAGGGCACGTGTGCTCGACGGAGAGACAGAAAGCGAGAAATCACCCCCCAGGGGTGATCACCACGCTGCAATTCCTTCTCCTCCATTCTCCTCTTGGGATCTTGGGCACGCACGGCATGAGTTTAAGCTGCCGGGTCCGGGACTCGAACCGGGTCAACTACCTGGGAATCCAGCGACATAGCCATTATGCTAATTGCTGTTCCCATGGTTACATTATTTTTTAGCAAGGGCTCTCCTGTGGCTGTGTGCATGGGTGGGAGGGACAGTTTGGGAGACAGTGAGGTGGTGTAGACCAGACAGGCAGCCCTTTCAGCACTGATGACCGTCCTCTCCATGTGCACACGATGCTCTCAGTCACGCCTCTGCCCTGCTGGCCTTGCTCACAAGTTCTCTCAGTGTTCATGGTTGACTCTCTTTGATGGTAAAAAGGATGCGGATATTTTATCTTCTGAGCAAATTTTTTAAAAAGAATTATTCATCCATTTAATTCCATGTGTTATCATGAATCCAGCGAATTCGACCAGAGAGAGACAGAAAGAGAGAGAGGGAAAGGGAGAAAGCAAGCTACCAAGTCTGGGACTCGAACCTCAGTCAAACATGTGGGAACCCAGCACCTTTAACCACCACACCACATGCTGGCCCCTTCTCAGCAAATTTGAACTGACCATCTCATATCCTGAGAATGCCAGGAACTTGTCCCTGGGTCCTGCCCCTTTCTGGTCCCTGTGAGGGATGAAGAATGAGTAGGCCAATGGATGAGGGTGGAGGGTTCCCTCCTCATAAGCCAGTGAGAAGTTTAACCTAGAAACTTCTAGCAACAAAAACAATAGCAGCTGTCACTAAGCATCTATCATGTCTCAGTCATTAAATCATATATTTAACATACGAAACAAATAGTAGCTATATTTAAAATGCTTACCACATTTCTGGCATATAAGTGTTCAATAAAATAGTAGTTCATTTTACAGGGGAGAAAACTGAGATTCAGAGAGATTAACAATTTGTTCAACACGCATGGCTAGTAAGGCTAGTGAGTAGTCTTTGAATCCAGTCTGTCATGTTTCTGGGTTCTGCTTTTTTGAGGGCTACACTATAGTTTTAGAGATTACATATTAATCTGGTAAATAAAACATAAAACCAGATATTTGAAAAGACTGATAAAACAAAGAAATTATAGATGATTTTTTAAAATAATTATTTTATTTAACTTTATTTGTTTTAATTTGATCAGAGAGGGACAGAGTGGGGGTAGGGTGGGGGAAAGTAAGAAAGCAAGCCGCCAGGTCCAGGACTCGAACTGTGGTCAGCCATGTGGGAGTCCAACGCCCTCAACCACCACACCACCTGTCAGCCCCACTATAGATGATTCTTTACAATTTTTTTTAAAAAAGAGAGATTCTTGCTATAGGGAGCATGCGCTCGCCAGAGAGACAGAAAGCGAGAAATCACCCCCAGGGGGATGGCCATGGGGTACCCTTCTTCATTCTCCTCTTGGGATCTTGGGCAGGCACGCACACGGCATGAGTTTCAAGTCTCTGGGTCTGAGACTCAAACTGGTGGACTTTATGGGAGTCCAGGGATGTAACCATTACGCCATCTGCTGGTTCTTAAAATTTTTTTTTCAAGACTGAGTCTCACTGTGTCATGACCCTCCTGCCCTAGCGTCCCAGTGGGCGTTACAGGCATGGGCCAGGTGCTCAGCTCTTTTTCAGATTGGACCTTGCTTCATTGCTCAGGCCAGCTTCAAGCTCACAATCCTCCTGCCTCAGCATCCCAGGTTTGGGCTTACAGGCATGCACGATTACACATTTTAGGTTGGACTGGGAATTGAACTTGGGCCTCCCCATGTGGTCCCAGACTGTGGAGCACAGATACTTAGCAACACTGGTCAGCCACTGTATAGACAATTCAAATCAAAAAAAGAGAGAGAACATAACTACACTCTATTAGGAATAAGAAAGACATGTAGCCATCAATACAGACAAAAAAATTATTTTATTTTAAATAATTATTCATTTAATTTAATTTGTTGTTGTTATTTTTGAACTTGCTATAGGGTATGTGTACTCACCAGAGAGAGACAGAGAGAGAGAGGGAGAATGAAAAAACAAGCTACCAGGTCCAGACTTGAACCACAGTCAGCTATATGGGAGTCTAGCACCTTAACCACCACACCACACCCTGAGAAAAAAATGTAAATTGTAAGAAGATTTTGTTTACAGTTTTATGTGAGCAAATTTGAAAAGCTACCATCAATAACTGAAACTTATTTGCAGAAGAGATGAAAACCATACATAAATGTAAAAAGTTGTGGAAGATCTGATTTCTTCAAATCTTTAAGGAATGAGTAATTTTTGTTATCAAACTGCTTGAAAACATAGAAAATCATTTATTATGTTAAGAGAGATTTTTGCTATAGGGCACAAGTGCTCCTTGAAGAGACAGAGAAAGTGAGAAATCACCCCTCGGGGGGATGACCAGGCCACAATCCCTTCTCCTCCATTCTCCTCCTGGGATTTTGGGCATACATGCACATGTGCCTGACAGTGGCCTTGTTTGAGACTTTTTTTTTTTTAAGAATTAAAAAAAAGAGATTTATTTAATTCCATTTGTTGTTGTTGTTATTGTTGTTATATTGTTTTAAATTTGACCAGACAGAGATAGAGAGAGAAAGGAAAAGTGAGAGAGCAAACCAATCAGATCCAGGACTGGAGCCATAGTTGACCACATGGGAATCTAGCGCCTTTAACCACCATGCCACCTGCTGGTCCCTTAAGAATGATTTATTTATTTAATTCCATTTGTTATTTATTATTATTATTATTTAATTTGACCAGACAGAGACAGAGAGAGAAAGGGAAAGTGAGAAAGCAAGCTGCCAGGTCCAGGACTTGAACCACAATCAGCCATATGGGAATCCAGCACCCTTAACTACCACACCATCTGCCAGCCCGTGCCTCATGTGAGTTTTAAGCCACTGGGCCCAGGAATCAAACTATGATTGGCAATGTGGGATTTCAGTGCCTTAATCACTATGCCACCTGCTGGCCCCTCCTGAATCATTTTACTGGATTACAGAACCCTGATTCCAGCATCTGGCAAGTATTATACTCTTTAGAAGCGAGGTGGGAGGCCGGCAGGTGGCGTGGTGGTTAAGGGCACTAGACTCCTATGTGGCTGACTGCATTTCAAGCCCTGGACCTGGTGGCTTGCTTTCTTACCTTCCATCTCTCTCTTTCTCGCTCTCTCTCACTCTGTCCCTACCTGGTCAAATTAAAATAAAAAACCAAATAAAGTTAAATAAAAGAAGTCTTTAAAAAATAACAAGAATTGAGGTGAGTCTTATGTAGGGGGTTCAAGTCCCAGGCCCACACTTACCACCTGTGTGACCTTGGATACATAACTTGGCCTCCAGAAGCCTCAATTTCCTTACCTAAAAAGTGAGAATGATAAAAGGACCTTCTCACAGCGTGGTTGTGTAGTTGTGATGTTCAATATAAAGTGCTTACAACATATTAGCTACTATTAAAATGAAACTACACACGTGTTTCACTTAGCTACAATAGTCTTAAAAATATATCAGCCAAATGAAGGCCAATTCTGAATAGTAAAACAATAATATACCATGATGAAGGTTAGTTTAGTTTAGGAATGAAAGGTTGGTTCAACCTTATGAAATCCAGCAACATAATTCATTATGTCAATGAAGAAGCATACCATATAATCATCTCAAGATATGTTGAAAAAGCATTCGATAAATGTGAACCACTGTTACTAATAAAAACTCAGTGTAAAATGAAACACCCTTAAGGAGTTTTGATAAAAAGTGTACTTAAGAAAACACTGTATTTCCAGCGAAACCATTGAGGTTTCCTCATTAAAGTCAGGAATAATAAAATAAGGCCCATTATTTCTGCTATTATTTAACATTGATCTGGAGGGCTTTGCCAATGCAATGAGACAAGAAAAATAATGTTTAAAACAGCATTAGTACTGGCAACAACTATATTGTAAGAAGGTTATATTAGATGTGAAATGTGTGCTGGTTTGGAGGCTAGGGCCTGTGTAGAGTGTTGGTGACTGGTCGTTTATGTGATCATGAAGGGAGGGTTGGTCCTCTACACAGCATGGCACTGACTGAAGTTCATTGTGATAGTTCTTGATTTTGTGGTTGGCCATTGCTATAAAGTGTAATAGCGTATGGTTATGGTGATTGCTTTGGCAAAAGTTCCATGATGTTGGTTGATTGTGAAGATGTCTCAGAACCAAGATAATGATTGTCTTCAGGGGCTGAATTTCATGAAATTGCGAGATAATAGGTATACTCTGAGTTATAATTACTGGAGTGTGTTTATGGTTATCTCGTTTGTGGTTTGACTATAGTAGTGCAAGCGCGCACGCGCGCGTGTGTGTGCGTTCCTAGAGCAGTGGATCAGGCACTGGAAGGGATCTTGAAAGATTTACTAGCTTGGGGCCAGCAGGTAGTGTGGTGGGTTTTACCATACGCCCACATGGCTGACCACAGTTCAAGTCCTGGACCTGGCAGCTTGCTTTCTCATTTTCTCCCTCCCCTCACTCTGGTGAGCGTACATGCCCTATAGAAAATTAAAATAATAATAATAATAATAATAATAATAATAATGAATAATTCTAAAGGAAAAAAAAAAAGGGTTGTTAGCTCAACCCATCTATTTTTGGATGCAGAAACTGAGTCCCAAAGTCAGGATAACATATACAAAGTTACCAGTAGGGGGAGCACTAACTTTAGGTTTAGGCTTCTAGGTCCATGCTACATGGTGTGGACTTTGGGTGTTGGAGAGCTGTTTTGTGTCAGGATTGGTGGTTTAGGATTGTGGTTATCGTTTTTTGCTTACAATGATTATACTGCTTAGGGTTATTCATTTAGAAGCCGCCGCAACTGTATTTGTTGGTGCATGTGATTCTTCATTATTTTCCATCCCATCCTGCTCACCATCACCAATTTTCTCCCAGAGGCCTCTGGGCACCTACCCTGATGAGCACTTCACGGAGGAGGCCCCTCAGAGGAGCATCGCTGCCTTCCAGAACCGCCTGGCCCAGATCTCAAGGGACATCCGGGAGCGGAACCGGGGCTTGGAGCTGCCCTACATCTACCTGGACCCTCCCCTCATTGAGAACAGCGTCTCCATCTAACCCCTCCTCAAACCACCTCATAAGAAAGGTCCAAGCACAAGGAGGGCCAGATTCTCAGGGCCCTTTAGACCTTTCCATCCTCCCTGTTCTTGGTCAGCTTGTACCTTCTCCTCTGCACACAGGCCTTTTCCAGCCAGGATGACTCCAGCATCACACGAACCAGGCCCTGAGCTGTGAGGGACCAGGCCACAGCGTCCAGGATGAGAAGCCGCTGACTAAAGTCAAACGCACAACAGGCCCTTCCAAGAGGAAGGAGGCCTTCCAATCCCTTTCTGTACTCTGGGCAGCCTTCTGCTCCAGCCTCTTATGGGAATCCTCTTCTTCCATTGGGGTGCCCATCTGCGGTCTCTGAGCTCACCTCCTTAGTCTTTCCCCGTCCTCTCCTATCTCCTTCTCCCATCAAGCCCTTTCCCCGCCCTTTCCTCCAAGCTGATGACCAACCAGCCTGGCTTCCTTCTCTGGAAGAGCCCGGAAACCGACCACAGTATGGCTGTGTGCCTGAATGTGACATGTGGTCCTTGCACCTTAAAGGGCAGGGGAAGAATCAGAGGCCACCTCACCTGGACCTCTAGCTGCAGTTCTTGGGGACAGGCTCCCTGGCCTGGGCAGGTGTGTGAGGATCTCTTTCTACTCTTACACTACCAACTCTCTCATTTTATGCTTTTTATCCTTCTCACCAGTGAGTTCAATAAAAGCCAACATATTTAACTCCCATTTCATTTTTACATTTCGATGTGTGTGAGTGTGTGTGTGTGTGTGTGTGTAGGAGTGGGTGGGTGCCAGGGGATTGCAGAGGGAAGGAACAGCGGTGAATCCATGGTTCTCTATTCTGGAGACAGGAAGCCTCCCAGGTCAACCCACCATCTATGCAAGTCCTGTGTTCCTACCCTCACCTCCCAGAGTGGATCATCAGGAGGTGAAGGAGTAGCTGGACTCAAGAAACTAACAGAGGGAACCAGCAGTTAGCGTAATGGCTATGTCGCTGGACTCCCACGTGGGACATGGAACTGAGTGAGGAATAAATTTTGTTCAGTGGAGTCATTGAAATTCAGGGCTTGCGGTTACTGCAGCACAACCTAGCCTACCATGACCAAAGTGAGCGATAGCCTGGGGAGTCCGATTTTCTCCCTTTTAGCCCCTCAGCCCTTAAAAACAGAGCTGGGGTGGGAACCAGCAGTTGGCGTAATGGCTATGTCACTGGACTCCCACATAGTCGACCACGGTTCGTGTCCCGGACCTGGTGGCTTAAAACTCACGCCGGGCGCGTGTGCGTGCGTGCCCAAGATCCCGAGAGGAGAATGGAGGAGAAGGGATTGCGGCATGACCACCCCCCCTCGGGGGTGATTTCTCGCTTTCTGTCTCTAATGTCTCTCTCTGTCTGCCTGGCGAGTGCAGGCGCGCTATAGTGAAAATCTCTCCGAAAAAAAAAACAGAGCTGGGGTCAACTCTTTCGCCTAGGATTAGCGAGCTGGATTTCACATGGCTGATGACAGTTTGAATCTTGGCTCTGTCGATATAAAAAACACTGAGAGGGGAGTAGGCAGATGACATAGTGGTTGAGGGTGCTGGACTCCCACATAGCCGACCTTGGTTTGAGTCCTGGACCTGGTGGCTTGCTTTCTCACTTTCTCTCTCCTTTCTCACTCACTCACTCTGTCCCTTTCTGGTCAAATTAAAATAAATAAATAAATTTAAATGAAAAACTTCTTTTAAAAAAAAATTAGGGACCAGCAGATGGCATAATGGCTACATCGCTGGATTCCCATGCAATGACTGCAGTTCGAGTCCCGGACCCAGTGGCTTAAACTCACACTGGGCACGTGTGCGTGTGTGCCCAAGATCCCGAGAGGAGAATGGAGGAGAAGGGATTGCCGTATGGCCATCTCCCCAGGGGGGTGATTTCTTGCTTTCTGTCTCTCTGTTCTTCTTTTTCTTTCTTGTGAGCACATGCACCCTATAGTGAAAATCTCTTTAAAAAAAAAAAAAAAAAAGCAAAAACACTGAGGCCAGCAGGTGGCATAGCCATTGAGGTGCTGGACTCCCACATGGCCCACCACAGTTTGAGTCCCGGACCAGGCAGCTTGCTTTCTCACTTTCCCTTTCTCTCTGTCTCTCTCTAGTCAAATTAAAAAAATAGTAACAATAAATAAAATGAAATAAAATAATTTCAAAAAGATTAAAAAAGCAAACAACAACAACAACAACAACAAAAAACACTGAGCATGTGTACATGCATGCCCTAAATCCCAACAGGATGGAGAAACCGAGAAGGAGAAGGGATTATAGTGTGGCCACACCTCATTGTGGGGTGCTTTCTCTGTTTTTTTCTCTCTCTGACAAATGCTCATGCCCTCTGGCAAAAATCAATCAATCGACAAATAAAATAGAGATTTGCGCAGCTCTCCAGTTGAACACACCTGTCTTCTATCTCCATGGCTACCCAACCCCTTCGTGGCTTCCTGCTTCCCTTCACCTCAGATCCAGCCCTCTTCACCTCCTCTCTCATTGGAGTCCAGTTCTGTGCCTGACCAAATGCTGGTCACAGCCTCTCTCTGGAGAGATTCACAGTGTCTTGGAACCTGTTTATCCAACCCCATGGTGCTGGTGTCAAGGCAATCAGATGGCTTTAGTGTCAGAATAATTGAGGACCCATTGGAATTCCACATGGTCAAAGGCTTCGAGGCTGCTGACTCCCTCAGGCCATGATCAACATCATTCGTTCCTCCAGTCCATGAGGACCCAGCGCTGCCTTGGTCAAGGCTGCCAATGTCTAAGAAAGCGAAAGCGCTTTCAATACACGTACAGTGCCGTGAGAAACTCCAGATCTGGGGACCAGCAGATGGCATAATGGTTACATTGCTGGATTCCCACGTAGTAGACTGCAGTTCGAGTCTCAGACCCGGCAGCTTAAACAACTCACACTGGGTGCATGTGCATGCCCCAAGATCCTGAGAGGAGAATGGAGAAGTGATTGTGGTGTAGCCATCCTCCTGGGGAGTGCTTTTTTTGCTTTCTGTCTTTCTGGAGAGCACATACACCCTATACCAAAAACCTCTCCAAAAGAAGCAGAAACTCCAGATCTGGTCACATTTCCTCCCTAACTAAATCACCATCCCAGAGCTCCTGGTATGTCAGAATTTTATACCACCCAGGGCCAGCTGGCAGTATGGTGGTTAAAACAGTTGGATCCCACGTGACCAACTGCGTGGTTAGAGTTCCAGAACTGGAGGCCTAAAAAACACTCTGGACATGCATGAGTGCCCCAAATCCTGAGAGGAGACTAGATGAGAAGGGACTGCAGCATGGCCATACCCCACCCAGGGAAGTGTTTTTTATCACTTTCCCTCACTACCTCGTCTCTCTTGAGTGAGTGAGTGAGTGCATACGTGCTATAGCAAAATTTAAAAAATCTTTTACACCAACCACTCCATTCCATAGACTCAGGAAAACACACTGTCTAACCCTTCCTTCTATCCCCTTCCACCCCAAGAATCTTCTCATTCAACCAAGCCCCTGTCCCCCGTTCCTGCAGTGGGCCTGTGTGTGGGAAGGGGCTTTGTAAATGGTGGGACTGTCACTTCCTGAGTCTGTGATACTGAGGGAAAAGAATCCTCATGCCATTGCTCATGAGGAGGTGTGTTTGGAAGTATTTCACTTGCAGATTCCAAACCAAGGATTTACTCAAAGCACCAGACTTTGTTTACCTTAGAATAAAATCAAAAGACTAAGACTTACCTAGAAGTGCTTCCCTGCAGCCAGCAGGGCTGTGGGGGAGGCTGGAAGTGTGGGCCTGCCCCGGGCCTTGGCAGAATCAGCAGAGCACACGGCCATGGCACACTCAGGCAGCCTATGCCCCTGAGGGGACTCTCCTTGGCCTGCACTCTCCTTGGCCTGCACAAACCAGCAGCAGAAGGCAGGCCTGTCCTAAAAAAATGCCCCAGAGCTGGAGAGGGAGGGATGGGGCAGATTGTTGGACTCTGGTTTCCCAGAAAGCCAGGGTGGAGGAAGATTACTGCGGAGACACACCCGGCTGCAAAGACTTACACCTGCCAGGGACAAGATGAGGGGAAGGGGTTCATGTCAGGCTGTAGGAGGCCTGTCAGGTAGGGGGATCCCTCCAGTCTGCGCTCTGGACTTTGAGGTTGGTCTGGAGGCGGGTGGTTATGGGGGGAAGGGGGGCTCGCCAGCCTTCTTTCCCTGGCTGGCCTTGAGCAAGTCCCTCCGCCTCTGTGACCCGAATCTGTAAGACAGTGGGTAGGATGAGAAGATCTGGAAAGTCCCTTCCAGCATTGACCTACGATCTGCTTGCCTTGTGGCTCTAAACACTGTCGTAGACTTTGGAGAAGTGGTTGGGAACTCCCCAGGCCTCTGCCCTGCTCCCACGTGCTGACAGGCGTAGAGAGACAGAGGATGAACACATCAGCAGATGAGTCCCTTCATGGCGGCACGTGAAGTCTGGGCTATACCAGACATGTGCTGACATGACTGGGTGCAGTGGGGACAACGTTAGGTATGGAGGCCAAGGGAGGTCCCTAGGAAGAGGTGACAGGAATTAAGGCCTGGATGTCAAGAACAAAACACTCCTGGGCCAGCACATGGTGTGGTGGTTAAGGGGGTTGTACTCCTACATGGCCAACTGTGGTTTGAGTCCTGGCTTGCTTTCTCTCTCTCTCTCTCTTTTGTCCCTCTCAGGTCAAAAAAACACAAAAGTCAATAAAGTTAAATGAAATATTTAAAAAAAAAAAAAAGAAAAAAGAATAAAACACTCCTGAGGGACCTGCAGGTGGCATGGTGGTTAAGGTGCTAGACTTTCACATGGCTGACTACAGTTTGAGTCCCAAACCTGGTAGCTTCTTTTCTCACTTTCTCTCTCTCTGGTCAAATAATAATAATAAAATAATAATAATAACAAAATAATTCTAAAAAAAAATATACCATGGGGCCAGCAGATGGCATAGTGGTTAAGGCACTGGACTCCCATATGGTTGGCTGTGGTTCAAGTCCCAGATGCAGTGGCTTGAAACTCACACAAGGCATGTGTGTGTGCATACCCCAAATCTGAAGAGGAACATGGAGGAGAAGGGATTGTGGAGTGGCCATCCCCCTCTGGGAGATGATTTCTCACTTTTCCTCTCACTATCTCTTTGGCAAGTGCATACCCTATAGCAAAAATCTAAAATGAACAAACAAACAAACAAACAAAAACTCCTGAAACAGCTTGAGGAAAAGGTGTCACAAACCAAGGATGGGCAATGGATGACCTGCAAAGATGCTTGTCCAAGGACGAGAGAAAAGGCCAGAGTGACTGGAAAAGATGGTGGGTCATGTACGTCTGAAGTCCATGGTAAATCCTCGGATTTGATTCTGAGGATAACACTGTTTTAAACTCTGATAAAATTTAAAGATTATTTTAATTATTTCTTCCATTTTAGAAAGAGAGAGAAAGCAAGCACTCCTAGCAGGGTCTTGATGCCACGGTCCATCCCCAGCCTCAGCCAGCCTAGAACACGGGCATGTGCCTGTCCCATGTGCCCAGGGAGGTCTCGGGATGTGAATCTGGGACCTTCTCAGGTGGGACAGCCCCGTGGGGCGTGGTGGTGGCATCACTGCTTCGCCAACCCACCCCTCTGATGAATTTGA